GACGTAAATACGCACCCCCCGACAGAGCCCTGCCCCCCCCCCCCCAGCCCAGGGCCCACCAGATTCCTCCCAGGCCTCCACGTCGCTCGGCCCACCCCCATCCACCCGGAAAACCCACCCTCTTCCCAGGCGACACGCATCTCGTGAGGCAAGGAGCAGCCCGGGCAACGTGGCTGAGAGGAACTGGGGGGAGGGGGCTCCTGTGCCCACGGGGATAGCTGCTGGAGACAGCCACAGCTGCAGGGGGCAGGACCAGAGGGGAGCCTGCCCAAGGCTGGTTGCTCAGCACTAGGTAGTCCCTGGGCGGCTGTGCCAGGCACCTGCTGACATCACTGCCACCCAAGGGGCTCTCCGGAGCTGAGCTGAGCCAGCCGATATTGCCAACCGGGGGGGCTGTACCAGAAAACAGCCCTGGCTCTCCCAGTGCACCCACAACCCAGAACCTTGGCTGCTGCCCTCTTAAAACTTTCCAAAGGAAAGATCAGCTTTAGCGTGCAGGGGAGAGGGGACCGCCGCTGTTGCCCTTGGGGGAGGCTTTCCCCTTCCCACATCAGTACGCGGTTTGGCTTGCTTGTCAAAGCCACCTGGCAGGGTAAATGCCTGCCTTTGGGCTTCCTCCTCCCACGAGTTCCCCCCCCCCAGCAAGCTATCGATGGGTGGGATTGTCATGGCTCATTCCCCAGGGACAGGCCCCTTCTGCCCTCTTCCGTGCCCCCCCAGAGCAGCCCCTACCAGCTTCATCTGGGGAGCTGCCCGTTGGACTGCCCTGGCTGAGAGTGGCCCAGCTGGAGTCTTCATCGCTGGTGGCACTGTTGCGGGTGGCAAAGAGGAGGCTGGCACTGCGGCCCTGCTCCCCCCGGGGCAGTGCCCGCTCCGAGCTCTGCTCTGACTCAGTCACAGGCTCGCTCTGGACTGGGGTGGAGCCTTCTTCCTCCTCCTCCTCCTCTTCCTCCTCCTCCTCGTCTTCCTCTTCCTCCTCGTCCTCTTGCTCCTCCGCTCGGTCTTTGCCCGCCTTGCCCGGCAGCGGGACGAGCAGCGTGCTCAGCTCCTTGCTGGGAAGGCCCAGTTCATTGCGGTTTTGGTCACGGCCACGCTCTGCCGCCTGCCGCAGCTGGTTCTGCCCCTCCTTCACCCACTTGCTGTTGGACGACTCCTCTGCGGAGGGGGGCAGCCCAAGGAGGCTCTGCAGCTCCCCACAGCTGTAGGCGCAGCGCCCCTTGTGCGGCAGGATCTGGCCCCCCGACGGGGGCACCAAGGCAAGGCTGAGGCCCAGGCAGCTGTTCTCGTTGGCCAGGCTGCTCCTCTTGCTCAGCGAGCCGGACATGGTGCTGGGTGCTGGACAAAGGAAGGCTGCAGGGAAGCCACAGGTCACGACCTCAAGCGAGCAGCCCTGATGCCGCGCGCACACCCACCCTGGGGCCCCTGGCCTGCAGGCGTTCTGGGCACGCTCAGCGCACTCCCTTGCAGCTGCTCCTCGGGCAGAAGATGTCCCCAAATGGCAGAGGGCCCAACTCTTCCCTGCAGTCCAGAGTGCCCGTCTGAGTGTTAGCCCCCCCCCATAGACAGAAATAGCTGCGTTCAGACAACAGCTCTAAACCGGCTAGTTAAAGGCCTAGTGGCTCCATTCACACAGCATCTTCAGTTGGGTTAGGGCTCGCCTTGATTGGTTTCATAAAGCACAGCCTGCTGTGTAAAGAAATGGGTCAATTCAGTCGCCAAATTAAACACGTTGTGTGGGCCCAGCCTGGCGGGCTTTGGGAATGAAAGCTGGAAGATGGGTTCTTGGAAAGGGCCCATGTTCGGGGGCAGAAACCCTGCTGTGCAGGCCAAGGGCCCTGTGGCCCAGAAGACCTCCCTCTGCCCATCCCCACCAGGTCAACGGCGCTGGGTCAGCCACAGCTCTGAACTGCTCCACGCGTGCAGACCTTCCCGGCAGCCCCCTGTGCCGGCCCCCCGGGCCAGGCCGGGCTTCTGCAGGGCCTCGCCAGGCTCTTACCTCTCCCGGGCCGGAAGGAGAGAAGCAGCAGCTACATGCTTTGGGGGAAACTGGAGGTGCAGCCCGAGGGAGGCGGGGGCAGCATTCAGCTCCTGGGGGCAACAGAGACAGGAGGGTCACTCCACCTGAGCGGCACGGGGCAGAGCGCGCACAGACCAAGCCCACCCCAGTCTGGCACTGTGCTCCTCACTGTGGGCAGTCAGATGCCTCTGGGGGCTCGCAAGCAGGAGACGGAGACATCTCCCCCATTGCTCCCTGCAACCGGCACTTAGTGGTAACCTGTTCAAGACTTGTGGCCACTGATGGGCCTGTACGCCACAGATGGACCCACCCCTCAGAAGGCCATCCAAGCTAGTGGCCATCACCACATCTTAAGAACATAAGAGCGGCCCTGCTGGGCGAGGATGAGACCCCTCTTAGGCCAGCATTTTCCCCTTCGCGGGGGCCAACCAAAAGCTTCCGGGGTGCCTGCAAGCAGGAGACCGGGACGCGTCCCTCTCCCATCACTGCTTCCCTGCTCCGACCCGGAGGGAACGCGGCGGCGTCTTCAAGACTGACAGCCCCCGGTAGCCCCCTCCTCCACGGACGGATCTGCCCCCCTTTGATTACTGGGGCGGCCCTCTCCTGCCTTCTCCCAGGTCCTTACGCCCTTTTCCGAGTATGCCAACCAGAACCGCACGCAGCTGCACCCCACAGGTGGACACCTCTGCCCCGCGGCCCTGGAGCGGACAGGCTGTCCCCGACTGCACCCAGCCAGCCGTTTCCCTGAATCCCGGGGGGGGGCCCTGCAACCCCCTCCCGGAGAAGGGCTCCTGGGTGCCTCCCCGAACTGCCGCC